CCGGGCCCGGCCAGGAGGCACCGCCGCCGGGCGAGGACCAGCCCCGCTGCCGGCCGGGCTGACAGCCTGCCCGGGGCTCAGCCCCGTCCCTGCGGGCTGCGAGGGGACGCGGGCGGCGAAGGCAAGCCCTTCCCAAGGGCGAGGGTGCCGCTCCGGGCAGGGAACAGGCTTGGCCATCTGGTTCCCCTTCGCGGCCCAAGAAGCCTGGGGAGGGGACGCCTGCTTGAAGCCCCCGCTACCCGGCTGGAGGTGAGCTGTGCCCGGGCCGTGTCCCCCTCCCGGGAACGCGGGGCCCATCCCCACCGTGGGTCTCCCTCTCCAGTGGGAGGTTTCAGGAGCCCACAGCCCACGGCTCCCCTCCGCAGTCCCTTCGGGAGGGGGTCTGCTCAGCGTGGGGGGCCGCGGGCAGGTCCCCCCCCGGCCGGTGGCGGAGGGCAGGCTGTACCTGTAGTAATCCTCCTTGCAGTAAATGCTGCCGTCCTTGCTGAAGCAGGTGAGCTCGGACTCCAGGTTGAGTTTACATTCACAGCACTTCAGGCAGCGCATGTGCCACTGCTTATCCACAGCCAGGAGGTAATACCGGTCGGAGATCTTCCCCCCGCAGCCGGCGCACAGGGCAGCCCGGTCACTGCTGATGGAAGGCATGGTCTGCTGGGGGAAGACAATTACAGACCGTTAGCGAGAGGGAGAAACTCCTGTGCGCTGCCGGGCTCCCCCTCCCCCTGCCCGGCCGGGGCCCGGCTTCCCTCTCCCTCGCGGGGGCGAGGAGCGGAGCGGGGCCCGCGCCCGGCCGCCCCGCCCTGCGCCCGCTCCCGGCCTCGCCCCCCCGGGAGGAGCGGGGCCGGGCGGCGAGACGAGGGGAAAACCACCCTGGGCGTTAGGGGAGGCGCCCGGGGGAGACCCGGGATTTCTTCCTTTTTTTTTTTTTTGGTGGATTTTCCAGTCCCAGAACAAGAAAAGATGCTGTTCAACAAACAGGCGCAATAATCACAGCGTAGGGCAAATCGCAGATAGTTAATTTTAAAATTTGTTATTATGGATATACTGAGAGTGTCTGCATAGCTAATGCTCGGTGAGTGCACGTATGCGGAGCGTGTCTGCGCGTGTATTTTCCTAGCTATAAAATTCCGAGTGAATTACGATCAACCCCCGGCAGTCGCAGCGCCACAGCCGCGGGTCCGCACCCGCTGCGGCCCAAAGCACTAGAGGGATCGGTAAATAAGGCTGCGGAGGAGACGAGCATTACCAAACCCGAGGTGCAGAATGCTTTATCAGGAAAACGAAATAGCGGGAAAGATGGGGGAAAGAAAGCGGGGAAAAAACAACAGAGCACTTCAGGTTATGCTGGGATAAACTTGGAAGCAATAAAACTAAATGTAACCCCTATATAATTTAATAGTTTAGTGTCAAATCGCAATCCAATCGAAACTCTGCAAACAACAAATACATACATATTCTGTCAACTTCTACCAAAAAAGAAAGAGAGAAAAATATCGGAAACCGTTTAAGGACGCTGATTTAGTTTAGCCGGCACCTTAAGACAGCGCTGAAGCGCGGCGCCCCGAGCGGAGCGGCCGATGGCAGACCGCGCTGCTCCCGCTGCCTCCGGACTTACTGTCCCCGCCTCGCACAAAGCACGCTGCAGGTTTGAGAACCCGAAACGCTTTTTACAGCTGTGACAAACAGGCAGTTTGTTTTGATTCGGGGGGGAGCTGTTTGTTTACTTTTCCCTCCTCTAGAGCCTTAACTCCTCGCGCAAAGCAAAAAGACAAGACAGCTAATAGGGAAGGATCGAAAGAAAATGAAGCTATTTTTTCAGCGTGTGCTGGACTGATTACTTTCACCCAGTACTTGCAGAGATCACAAAATCCCATCGCTCTGAGTACTACTGTTTGCCCTGCACCATTCCCACCATCAGAACTACATATAAATAAAATTATGGCACTGCGTGGGTACGTCAGCCACGCAAGTCCACCGGTAGCTTATTTCTGTAAGGCATTAACTGACCTCTGATTAGGGACCGCTTTATAACCAAAGTAGTTTCTTGCAAATCCACTTTAAATGAAACACGATTTTTCTGCTTTGCTTTTCCGGTAACAAAAATATTCTGAGATCCAGAAATGGTATTTAAGGATCCAGTATTCTATCCCACTATTTATTATATACACATGTGTATGCATATACATTATATATAGATATCTATAAAGGTATCATGCCACAATATTTATTCCAGGAAAGATCATTTGATATTGTTCAATCGTACGGAGAAATATTAACTTTTCCAAAGAAAACCAAAACTGTTTAGATTAGAAATCACGTTCCACCCTTAGAGTATAAAGGCTGTTTTTCAGCTAGTATTTCGGGATTAAATACTCTCACTGTCACCTTTAAGTAAATTTCTACATAGCATTAAGAGAAATACCACATACTGATGAAGTTTTAAAAACCGAGAACACAGCTCTTTCTTGCGTGTGCCCGTATCAGCTTACAAGACAGCATTTAACCAAAGTACAGGAGCATTTCACTTCGAAATTATCATTTCTTAACAAAAAAGTAGTATACATAAAATGTTGAATCAGTTAACACACTTCAGAAATCTCTTCCACTTCGCTAGCTTAACTCTGGTTAAAAGGATGCGTCTTTTTATTATCTAAATGTATTAATATACAAGTACCACGCATCAGCAGACATAAGATAAAAAGTGGTAAAGTTATAAAAATTTGCATCCATCAGTCTCCCTGAAACATATCTTCTGGTTCTGTTTGCCATGTTCGCAAACCCAGTGCTCATATATATTACCATTATTTTTTAAAATCATAATTTAAAGGCACTCGAGCTTGGTTTTTTTGTTTATAAATGCTATAATGACTACCTCAGTGTAGACATCCTACCTGAAAAATAACACAGAATTGGATTCTTTGGTGTTTGTGTTTCCATTCTGCATACAAAAAATTCGCCGTGCCAAAATGTTATCTGTATAAAAGCATACTTTGCCTCTTCCTAAAAACTTTGGAAGGCTGGACAGGCTGGGGGAAGGGAAGGAGTTCTTGGACGCTACCAAAAGGCTGGTCTATCTTTCTGTTTTCTCGCAAGAGCAGTACCGTTCATTTCACCCAAGCGTTACTATTACTACGCATATTATTAATAATTAACAGTTTCATGCCTTTCCCCACGGTTTTATTTAATCTTTTGGGGTGCCTTTTTACTTAATTTTCTTCTGATTTAGCATTTTGCATACGTTTCCCCCCGATCTGTTATTTTAAGGGAAAAGCTGGATCTTTGAGGGGTTTATTATGCTTAGGGGATTGAATGACTCTCCCATGCCTTCGCCTCCTACCGTTTCGGTCTCTCCCCTGTCTATAGCCGAGCTGATGGCCGGTGCTTCGCTTTTGGTTCTCCGATCCATCTCGTCGATGACCCCGTGCATCTCCGAGCCGGACAGGCTGTGGAAAAGCATCGCTGAGGAAGCAGAGGAGGAGGCCCCGAGTTGCTGCTGCTGCTGCTGCTGACAGTTGTCGGGGTCCCTGCAGGAGCCCAGCACTTGCATTAACCGGAGCCCTCCCCCATGCATCTAGCACGGCCGCCCCGTCTCTCCTTGGGCTCCGGGCTTTTCACCCCGGCAGAGATCTCCGGAGCGCAGCGCAGGCACTGATCCGAGGTTGCAAGGGGACGGGGTGCAGAAAAGGCGGGCGAAGGGGACGAGGGAGAGGGGATAACTGGTGGTGTAAGCTTCGGGGCTTGGATCTAGTCTGTTGCGCGGCCCCGGCACATCCCTCTAGGAGGCTTCTTCAGTGCGGGGCTCATTGCCCCAGGTGCAGTCCCAGGCTTTATGCTCTGGCCCAGCTGGCAGAAGAGGCTGGGCAGGTTTACGGTTGGGAAGGATTAATAAATAACAGAAATATAAAAAAATTAAACCATCTTCGGTGAGAAATAAATAAAAAAAATAATAACGACAAGCCCCCTACATCGTACTGTGCGGAATTTAGAGGAGGAAAGCGAGGGAGAGGGAGGCTGCAGCAGGCGGAGAGCAGGCTGGTGCCGCACGGAGGCTGGGGCGGGTGCCCACCGCACGCACTCACGGTCCGGAGGGCTGGCGGCGGCGGCAGCTCAGGGGCAAAGTTTGCTCCTTCCCCCGCTCCTCCCCCAGCCCGCCGGAGCTCATTGGGAAGAGAAAAAGCCGGGGGGAAGGAGGAAGAGTTGGACGGGCACCAGATGGGACGGGCACTCGGCG